CTGGGCTAGGACTGGGTCTGGGGGCTCCCGGAACTCGGCCAAAAATCCTACTCGGCGGGCTGTGTGGGGAGGCACTGAGGAGTGGTTGGGGGCGGCTGGAGGGGCTGGGAGAGGGACCGGCCAACGCTGTGCCTGGGCTGCGACTGGTCCCGCCGGCGCAGGGTAGCAGGAAACTCTCCGCACACTCACCGGACCTGGGCTAGGACTGGGTCTCTGACCTTCTTTATTTCATCTGATCATTGTTGGTTTGAAGTTGAGACTGTCTGAGAACAGTATTGGTACCCCTGCTTTTTTCTGATGTGCTGGGACGTGTAGTATTTTCTTTCATCCTTGACTTTTAGCCTATGAATTTCTTCATGAGTTAAGTGTGTGTCTTTTACACAGCATATTGTTAGATTGTGTTTCATAATCCACTGTGCCAGTCTATTTCTTCTAATTGGTGAATTGAGTCCATTTATATTGATGGTTATAATTGGGATGTATTGACTTACAATTGGTATTTTATTTACCTCTTGTTGTTTATTCCTTTTTCTTTTGTGTATAATTGTTTGTCCTATTTAGTGCATTCCTTCTGTTCTCCTTCTTGGAGTTCTGATCATTCTTTTTGCTCTCTAGGATATCTTTTAATAGTCTGTGTAAGTTTTGCTTCTTCGTCATGAAATTAATTCTTTTCTTACCTTTTCACTAGCTGCAAGGGCATCTTCAAGATCTGAAACCATATCCTCACTTTCACTGAAATGATTTTTGCAAGCTTTTAATTGAAATTTTAAGTTCCTGTATATCTCTTTCACTCTGCTTTATGCTATCTATTTGATTCCTATATTGCTCATTAAAGGATTGCATCGTTTTTCTAATCTCCTCTATTTTTTATCAGTATCTTCTTGAGAAACAGTTATTAATTCTTTCACTATAGATATCCTTTCTTTTTTTTACTTCCGAGATTATTTCTGATCTGATTTCTTCTATATGTGTCCGCAGTTGATTCTTTAAGTCACCATTAATTCAGAGATTTCTTTTTTTATTTCAGAGGTTATTTGTGACATGCGTTCTTTTATACATTTCTGCAGTTGTTTCTTTACTTTAGACTTTATTATTTGAGACATTTCAGCTGTGTGATTACAAATTTCTTCTGTGGTAGTACCCTGTGCACTTGTTCTAGTGGGCTTAGAACCGGAGATTGCATTTTGCTGCTCTTCTTTGTCATTTTGTGCAGCACTGTCTTCTGATCTTTGGTGCAGAGCTTTGGTGCAGTTATAACCTTAGCACCTACTGAAGTTCGGGTGCAGATCTACAAAGTTTGAATTCATTCAGTTGTGCCTGGCTTGGGTCTGGCTGCTGTGCTCATCTTTTTCCTGCTACAGCCCTTGGAAGTGGACCTATTTTGCTCCTCTTTAAAGATGTTCTGCTCCTGGATTAGCTGGGGGATTCTGTCCCACAGCCTCTCTGCAGGGACTTTAGCTGCAGAGTTTCACCCCAGGCCTGTATACTAGGCCTTGGCTTGGTCTGGAGGGGTCCAGAGGGCAGGACAGAAGGACTCACTCACAAGCATGCCTAGACTGGGATCCAGAAGGATCCAGCAGGCAAAGGGGAGTGTGGAAGCTCTTCCACACACTTGCTGGTCTTTGGCTTGGGCTGTGTCTGGAGAGGTGCTGAGAGAGGGGCGAAAGTTCTCACTCACACACTGGGCCTGAACTATTCCTGGAAGGCTTCGGAGGGGTCCCAAGAGCACAACTGAAGGTCTCACTCACAGGTCAGTCTTGGGCTGTTTCTGGAGGGGTCCATCTGGCACAGAGAAGCATAGAAGCTCTCCCACACACTGGCTGGGCCTGGGCTTGGCCTGGGTCTGGAGGGGTCCTGAGAGGTCGACCTTGACCATTTTTTGGACCAATTTTGCATGCCTGTATCTGGTAATCTAAACAACTAGTTTGAAGACAGCAATATGCAATACAGCCACCACTGAATTCCTATCATTTTGCTTAGTGAAATTCTGTATTGTTTCTTTCTTCTTTTTCTTTTTTTTCTCTTTGAAAACAGAATTAAGAAACAGAAGTTAGAGAAGAAAACAAATGTCTGTCTACCAAATCTAATACCACTGGCAGAAGTCTTCTTAATGTTCTTCTGGTAAAAACCTCAATTCTGCACCAATCTGTCTTTTAAGTTTCTGAATATTAAAGTCTAGGGGAAAGGTAATGAGTTGATGGTGCTTCATTAAATCTCCTGTTTGCCCCAAACTGTACTTTCATCTTAGGGCACTGCAGTGGTAAAGAAATAAAACTAATTGATCACAACTAGTACCTTGTCATAGGACTTTTATTTCAGAGTAAGATGTGAGGTAGTTCATAGATAACATTAGGAGAAATGATGGACTTCCCAACTGAGCTATGTGACATTGCTACAACACATGGTGACATTGCGCCTGGTATAGGTATTTGAGAGCTCCCAATCCTATTTCAAAGTTTGTTAGTTGGAACTAATGGTGGAAAGACTTCCTGTTTGCATGGCTACTGTGGTTGTATGGCTGTTGGCTTTCAAAGTTAATAGAGAGATAGAGAGATAAGAATAGGAGTGTTGCAGAAGTCTTATATTCTTGATGTTCTCATATCCTTGAATGAATAACTGATGACCAGGACTACTGGCAAATTTTGACTACTTTGTCTGCATTGAAGAGCAGCATTTTGGTGCTTGAGGATCTCGAAGCATCAGTATCAAGGGGCTAATAGTGGGATAACAGGCTGTGAGAAATATAGTTGCGTGCTGCAGCCAGAGATGAGGTTTAAAAAAGACAGTATAATAAATAGTAAGGAAAGAATTCATTAAATAAAACAAAATGAAAGTGCTTGCTAGAAGCAGGATGGTTTGAGTGGCTTTTGTCTCAGGAGAGAATCTGTGGGAGTTAGTAGTGGTGTGAATATGCTTCATTGTCTGCTGATGTCTATATAGGAGGAACACCATGTAGGCACTGGTCCAAGCCATGAGTCCCAGGAATACAACATCTACCAGTGTCATTAGAAATGCATATTTTGGAGTAGATGTTTCAGAATTTCTTGAAGAACAGAGACCATAGTCTCGTAACTTGGTAGAATTGTGAGTATGTTGAAGGCCTTCTATATTTATAGGAATAAAGGTGTTAATCAGCAAGCTGATGATCCAACACAGAACACAGGGGAAACTGAAGTTCTTCCAAGCTCCGTCTTTAAGACATATCATCCTTCTAGGTTTGGGGCTAATGGTGATAGCCTGAAAGTTGCTCAGGAGGCAGGTGGTACAGAGAGAAAGTCCCCGGGCCACTCTGTGGATATAAAAGACAAGTTTGCATCCTGTGTTTCCCAGGATGGGTGTGATTCCCCAGGTTAACATCATGTGAGGCATCCCCTTGCAGAGAAGAATCAGGAAGTTGGCCACAGCCATGTGAGTGAGAATAAGGTGTGTGGGCCTCAGTGCATGGCCGGTACAGGATGTGGAGACATAGAGTGAGAAAAGAAATGTATTCCCCACCAACCCAATCCCAGTCTGGACCAGAAAAAGTAGCCTCAAGATGACATCACCAGGAGTCATTCTTATGAGAACAAAAGAAGCTATTGTTTCACATAGTTGTTCAGAAAGATGTGGAGTTAAAACTCAGTGCAGAGTTATTTTTCTGTATTCTCTTTTTTCATATGAAGTGCAGTTTCACAAAAACTCCCCTTTCTGAGAGGCCAGGTACCTGTATGAGAAGAGGACATAGACAAATCATCTCAAAACAACTGCTCAGACTTTCCAGCATGGCAAGTTTATTTAAATGCTTGGACATCTTTGTGTAATGACTTTTTATTCTATTCTGCATCTATTCTGCATCTCCTGACCACAATTCAAGAGGTAAAGCTTTATTGGTCATATACAGACTTTTATTCAACATTCACTGTTGCTTAAGCAGGAGAGAGAGAGAGAGAGAGAGAGAGAGAGAGAGAGAGAGAGAGAGAGAGAGAGTTATGGGGCATGCCTGTAATTTGAGCACTGGGGAGACTGAAAACAGGAGTATCACTATGAGTCTGAGCTGCACAGTGAGACCCTGTACCATACATAACTTGAAAAAATGAAAGAATATTGATTAGTATATATGATACAACAAAAATCCTATTTACAGATTCAATAAAATGTTATGTCTTTATGAATTGACTTAAAGAAATACTCATGGAAATGTATGATTAAAAATGAATAAACAGGCTGCTTCAACAAAGCAGTCAGGCTCAGGTTGCTGTGGTTTGATCTCCACAACTCAAGCCAGCGAAACCTTCCTGAAGGCATTCAGAGGAAAAAAAATGACTGAACAATCCAATGAAATACAAAAGTAAACGATCAAATTCTAGACTGCTTTTATTCTTAGATAGGAAATATATACATTAGAAAGATGACAGTACTCCTTAAGTTCATCTAAAAATATAAAGGACCAACTAAATATAGAAAAATCTTTCTCCTGCTGCAACTTCACAGTGAAAAGTAAATTACTATCAAAATGGCATATTGGATGAGATGGGTGTAACATGAGCTGTGAAATAAAAACTATAGTCTACATAATTTTATGATTAAAAGTGTTAAACTTGCATCTAGACTGAGTCATGGAAAAAATGACAGTAGACATATGCCTAAATATCTTTTTTCCCCAAAGTTTTATTGATAAACAGATAGCAATGAGACAGTTTCAAATCAAATCGGAAGTACAGTTTCAACAAATAATACACTGCATATATTCTTCTTAGTGGTTAATTGCTGTACAAGATGCGGACTTGTGATCATATTTACAAACATCATTAGAACAAATCATTCTATTCATTAAGAGAATGCAACTATATATCTATCCTAACCACTTTGAATACACAGATACAAAATGGGCATTCATCGGTATACCTCATTTTTTTCTAAGTTCCGTTATTGAATATTATAGGTGTGTAAACTCAGCAAAATATTCTAAAAGAGTCCAGTAGCCCACAATAGCATTTGGTCTTCTGTTTAACTGGCAATGTCAGAAATTATTCACCTGAGTCCCCCACAACTCAACATAACAGCATAGCTTTACTTTCTATATTTCGTCTTCATACTTTTCTACTGGATGGTTAAGACCAAGGTAAAGCAAGACCTATGCAACAAGAGTTGTAGCTTTTGGGTCTGAGCAGGTCAGTGAAATGCCCTCAGGATTTATCCTGAGATCCTGTACCTCAGATTGTAGAACCTTTGTCAGTGCAGCCATGTGGATGAGTCACGGCCATTGCTTGGCCAATGTGCTCTCTGTGAAAGCCTGAGAGAGTGTCTTCTCCCCATGTGACTCTCCTTTGCCTAAATATCTTAAATGAAACCATTCCTATGAGCACTGGGGAAAGGCAGGATCTGAGATAGAGCAGCCTTTTTAACTATTATCAAAATCAAAATAGTAAAATACAAAGATGACTGCTTTTCTAATAATTTTCTTAAAAGATTTCAGGGCCAACAGACTACAAACAAATTAAAAGTGAGAATTATCTGCCTCTTGTGGTGTTAAATAAATACTATTGAGCCAACTCTGCTACAAATAATAACCATGGACTATAAAAATATATAAAAATAAGCATTGAGTTTTCTGGAATTCACTAATGTAAGACAAGCATAGTGGCACATGCCTGTCATCTCACTTTCTGGGAGACTAATGCAGGAGTTCAAGCACAGCCTGGGAAACATAGCAAGATCCTTCTCTCAAAGTAAGCAAACAAATGAAAAAAATTGGAAAGGTAGCTTCATATGAACCCCCTGAGCTCAATCTGCAGCAATGCACAATAATTAGATAGACAGACGACGATTAGATATTGATGGACGGAAAAAAATGATTGATAGATGATAGATAAATAATAGATAGATAGACAAACCTCTTGAACTTACCTGTTTGCTAATAAGTGAATAAGGGCAACCAGATCCTTGAAGGGGGATGACTCCTTTTTTATTTTTTAAAAATACAAAATAAAATATCACTAAACAGAGTAATAAGAATTCAATGATTTTTGCTGTATTGCATGACATTATCTGCAAATTAGCCCACCAGATATAAACAGAAAACTTGTTTAAAAAAAACAACAGAAAAGGTATAAGAAATTAAAAAGAAAGAAAATAAAAACAAAAATAAAGAAATTTTAAGCATTAAATGTTCCTTTCACTAGCAGAGATTGGCAGTACAATTATCCAAATTAT